GCCACTGGTGAGGGTGCAGCCTCACTTTCAGTGGAGACCCAGCTTTTTGGAGATGCCAGGACAATGGGACGACCACCAAGGGCAGCGGCAGGTATGGAATGGAGCCGGCCTGGGTCTGCAAGATGAACTATATGTGCTGTGGACTGCAAAGTCAGAGCAGTGGAGCTGCCAGAACCCTTTAGAGCCCAGAAGATCATGAGTGAATCCCAGATGTCCAGCCTTGAGCTACTTTGCTGGACTTTGGTTTTGCTTAGGTGTGCCCGATTCTGACAGTACTTGTTTTGGATTTTACAGAAGCCCACCCACAGTTAAGAGACTATTAAAAGAGACTATGGACTTTTAAGTGTTTGAATTTTTTAAGGACCGTGGGGTTTTTAAGGTTGTACTGTCTTATGTTGTGATATTAATGTTAACATATCTTGGGGACAAGAATTAGAAAGGTTATGGTTTAATAGTGATGTGTTTGTGTGTCAAGTTGACAAGGGGTCAATTGTGCTGGAAAGCTTTAGTGTCAACTTTACACACCTGGGTTGAAGGAGCCTCAATTGGAGAATTGCCTTCATGGGACTGGCCATGTCCATGGGGCACCTTCTTGATTGTTGAGTGATGTGGGAGGACCTAGCCCACTGTGGATGGTGCCACCCCTCAGCAGGTGGGCCTGTGTTGCATAAAAGAAAACAGGCTGAGCAGGAGCCAGGGGAGCAGCCAGTAAGCAGCATTCCTCCATGGCCTGTGCTCTAGCTCCTGCCTCCAGGTCCTGCCCTGAGTTCCTACCTTGGGCTCCCTGATGAACTGTGACCTGGGAGATGTAAGACAAATAAACCCTTTCTTCCCCAAGTTGGTAGTGGTCAGAGTATTTAGTCAACAGCAATGAGAATCAAACTAGGACACCAAGGTAGGAACTCAAGATAGGAATTCAAAGCAGGGACCTGGTGGCAGGAACTGAAGCACAGACCATGGAGGAACAGTGCTTACTGACTTGCTTCTCTGGTCTGTGCTCAGCCTGCTTTCTTATACAACCCAGGACCACCTGCCCAAGGATGACACCACTCACAGGGTGCTGGACCCTCCATATCATTCAACAACCAAGAAAATGCCTCATAGACATGCCAGTCTGATAGAGGAAATGCCACAGATGAGGTTACCTCTTCCTAAATGTGTCGAGTTGACAACCAAAGCTGACTGTGACACATCTGCTATCCACATTCTAGGGAAATGGATGAATCTTAGTCAGTAGTTGGATATCTTCACTTTTCCAGGGCATTTTGTTTTCTGTGCATATATAGCCTGAGCTAATTAAATTTAGGTGGAACCTGTAAAATCTCTCAGAAGGATACTTTAACATGCATGAAATACTATTGAAATACAATCATCTAATACTTTTACAAATCAGTATGTATGTCTATATTAATGCTTGGACAGGCTCTAAAAGCAAATCTGAAAAAAAGCGATATCTGAGTGATGAGTATAAGCAATTTGTCAAGACATCTGTTCCGAATATAATTTGGAGCACACTGAATTCTACTGGTGACATAATCTCAAGCCTAGCTAACACTATGAACTGATCAATTTTCATTGAAGGTGAAAGAAAGGTAAATGTGTAACTTTTGCTCATTTAAACTCATGGAACCACTGAATTTCATTCATGAAGCCCAGGCTAAGAATATTGGCTACTATAAGCATAGATCCTTGTTTTTTATGAACCTTAGTGAAATTCTACCCAGAGCTATAATTTTATGTTGCTTAACAAGAAATTATTTGTGGAAGATTCTAGTAGTTTCACAAGTGTGTGTTGAGTCCCCATATGTGCTAGGCTCTGGGACAAGCTCTGAGAAGAGTGGCTTTTATCTTATGTGTGTGAGTGTATTGCCTGCATGTATGTGAGTGCGCCCGTGTCGTGCAATGCCACAGAGGTCAGAAGAGGCATCAGATTCCCCTGGAACTGGAGTTAAGGACGGTTTGTAGCCACCATGTGGGTGCTGGGAATCGAACCCAGGTCCTCTCCAAGAGCAGTCAGTGCTCTTAACTGCTGAGCCATCTCTCCAGCCCCGAGAAGAGAGGCTTTTTAAAAAAGATTTATTTATTTTGTGGGGCTGGAGAGATTGCTTAGTGGTTAAGAACAGTGGTTGTTCTTGCAGAAGACCTGGGCTGGAATCCCAGCACCCACATGGCAGCTAACAACTGTCTGTAACTCCAGTCCCAGGAGATCCGACAGCCTCTTCTGACCTCTGCAGGCATTGCATGACATGGGTGCACTTGCCTACATGCAGGCAATGCATGCATGTACATAAAATAAAAATAGGTTTTAAAGAAAGTTTTAAAAGATTTATTTTTAAGTGTATGCCTGCATGTATGTACGTGCTTCATATGTATGTAGTGACTTCACAGGCCAAAAGAGGGCATTGGCTCCTCTGGAATTGGAGTTACAGACAATTTTGAGCCACCTGACATGGGTACTAGAAACCAAACCCAGATCCTCTGCAAATGCAGTAAGTTGAACCATGTCTCTGACCCCAAGAGAGAGATTTTTGTGGTCTCCTGTAAGACTTTTTCCTTCTTAGTAGGTAAGAAATGCCTACTGGAGAGACAGTACTTAACTATGGTTCTTAACTGAGAATGAAATAGTTTCTGTGTCTGTGGTGTGGCCCTTTAGATGCTGTATCCAAGAACTGTCAGTATCACTGAATAGATAGGCATCAATTACCTGGTCCAGCCTCCACTAAAGATAACCACTGTTTCACACTGAGGAGGTTACTTACTCATCCTTCATTGGCTCTTTTCTGTGTGTCACTAATGTGACATTTAGAGGCCTTATGGCACCCCGATAAAAGCTCTGTCCAAAAGCCAGATTTTGTTGCAAATATTAGCTTGGCTATTGCTTGACTCAATCTTGGGAAATTAAACTGTCTGACCTTTAGCTTCTCTATCTCTAAAGTGGGAGCTTATAATAGTTTCTTTCCCTGCAGAGTTTTCCTGGCAATTAAATCTCAGTATTATGTCAGGCCCTTAGCACCCAGCCAACACATACTACATGTTCAGTTTGGGAGTTTCCTGTAAACTGGAGGTTGGAGGGAAGAAGCACTTCCTGTGGATCTCTAAATGAAGAAGACCCCAGTTTGTGCCCCTACTTATAGCATTCTTTGTTTAGTAGTAGTCCAGGGGTCAGTGGTGTGGAGGGCGCAGGAGGCTCCTGTTTAAATCCAGGCTTATTCAGAAGCTTCCTTCCCTCCTGGGTTGCTATTGTTACTGCGTTTTGCCTCCTCTTTGAAGTTTCACATTTGACAGATGTTAATCATTCCTCCTCACACACATTTTTACATGTAGGTTTTCAAAAAGAAATCACAGGAAACTGGAGGGGGGAAAAGCAAAGCTTTGGTTTCTGACATTGAACTGGGGAAATTTCTAGAATCGTCCACTGTCAACAGCACACATAAACTTGAGATTTCCGTTTTTGTGTTTTCTTTAGCTTCAGAAGCAATAGAAATGAGCAAGGAGAACCTTTTTCTCAGATATCTAGGACTTAAAGAATGATCAGTAACAAATGAACAGTCATTCACATTCAGATGTCTTAATACATTGGAGATGTGGCTAAGATATTATATAGATAATAGTTAAAAATCTTAATTGCATTTTCTTATATATGGAAAAGAATATTCATGTTGGACCAAAGTAAGTTCTCTCCAAATTCTGCCAATGTATTACAGGGTATTAAAAATAATACCTTTAGGACAGGGGCTGCCAAGTTTTTCTATAAAACTAGTGCCAGATAGTAAATATTTTTGGCTTTGTGGGCAGATCTGATCTCTACTGCAGGAAAATCTCTGTAAAGAGAAATTAAAGAGAGTTTTTCTTTTGCTCCCTCCCTTCCCCTCCCCCCCCCAGCGCCTCTCCCCTCTTCCTCTCTTCTCTCTCATTCTCCTTCCCCTGCACAGACCCACAGTGGGAGAGTCCTCCAACGGATCATGTGTTCTTTCTCCTGCCTACGGCATGCTGTCTGTGTGTCACTGGTGGCTCTCATCTCTCCAAGACCAATTCAGAGGTGGCTCTTGCCTTCCTCTCATGTTTCTGTGAACTTTCCCACACTCACCAAGCCTTACGTTCTGCCATATTCTTAGTTGCCTTCTGGAATGTTGTGTGTTGCTCAACATTTGTATACATTCCCTTACTCCTTTGCTGGGTACAATTTTGAGGACAGTGGTGTGCCTGTAGTAGACACTCAGGAACGATGTGCATACTGAATGATTGCTCTTCAGGCTACCTTGAAACATCTGCTCTGGCCTGAGCCATGGTGAAAGCAGGAGTCTCCGGAAGGGTCTCCCAGAAAGTGTTTTACCTTATGTCTGCCAAGTATCCTTTTGTGCGTGTATGTATGCTCATATGTATATATCTGTGTGTGCAGGTACACGTGTATATTCTGGCATACATGCACATGTGTGTTCATGCATGTGGAGACCAGAGATCAACCTCAGGTGTCATTTCTCAGGAATGACATCTAGCTTTTTTTCATATAGAGCTTCTCACTTGACCTGGAACTCATTGATTTGGCTAAACTGGCTTTCCAGGAAGTCCCAGAGATCCGCCTGTCTCTACCTCCCCAAAACTGGGATTCCTGGCATTTGACATCACACTAGGTTTTTGATATGGGTTCTGGGGACTGAACTCTGGTCCTCATGCTTGCAACAATCTCCACAGCCCAGAATCCCTCTTTTCCTCCTGCGTGTGATTGCTGATGAAGGAGAGAGTATGTCTAGTAGTGTCTCACATATCAAAAGGTTGATATGGCACCCTTGGTCAGCTCTGATTTATTTTCATCTCAGGAAGAAGGACATGGATAGTGTGGATAGTATGCTAGAGTACATTAGCAGTCCTGGAAAAAAATAATCTAACATCCACAAACAAGTTCAGATGCTGACATGTATAGCCTATAGAAGTGGACTTTCCTAGAGGTCCACACCTCTTGAGTATAACACCTTCTCTCCTCTGTGTTTTTTCCACATCAGAATATACTGCCAGCAGTCCTGACCTGTTGTTAGTCATAATTCAAGTGACGGGTGTTAGCCTCCTGCCTCCACTGGGCATTGCCATAGCTGTCATCATCATCTTCTACTGTTATCGTGTCCACCGGCAGCAGAAGCTGAGCCCATCCTGGGAAAGCAGCAAGCCCCGAAAGCTCATGGAGTTCAGTGAGCACTGTGCCATCATCCTGGAAGATGACCGCTCTGATATCAGCTCCACGTGCGCCAACAACATCAACCACAACACGGAACTCCTGCCCATTGAGCTGGACACGCTGGTGGGGAAGGGCCGTTTCGCCGAGGTCTACAAGGCCAAGCTAAAACAGAACACGTCAGAGCAGTTTGAGACCGTGGCCGTCAAGATCTTCCCCTACGAGGAGTATGCTTCCTGGAAAACAGAGAAAGACATCTTCTCAGATATCAACCTGAAACATGAGAACATCCTCCAGTTCCTTACCGCCGAGGAGCGGAAGACAGAGTTGGGAAAGCAGTACTGGCTGATCACCGCATTCCATGCCAAGGGCAACCTCCAGGAGTATCTCACCAGGCATGTCATCAGCTGGGAGGACCTGCGGAAGCTGGGTAGCTCCCTGGCTCGGGGCATTGCTCACCTCCACAGTGATCACACCCCGTGTGGGAGGCCCAAGATGCCCATTGTTCACAGGGACCTCAAGAGCTCCAACATCCTCGTGAAGAATGACCTGACCTGTTGCCTGTGTGACTTTGGACTGTCCCTGCGCCTGGACCCTACCCTGTCTGTGGATGATCTGGCCAACAGTGGACAGGTAAGTGAGCTCTGGTACACATCCTCTGACCTCATGCCTGGCCTCATCCTACCTCTTTTGTTTTCATTCTGGAAGTTTTCATGTGTGTGTGTGTGTGTGTGTGTGTGTGTGCACTCTATATACACATATGTGAGTACACTTGCCAAACATGCACTTATAGAGGCCAGAGGTTGCCCTCAGGTATCTTCTCTTATCCTCTCCAACTTACTTTTTGAGAACCAGCCTCTCTCTGAACACAGAGCTCACTGGTTAGGCTGGCTGGCCCATGAACTCCAAAGTCCGCCTAACCTGTGTGTGTGTGTGTGTGTGTGCACTCTATATACACATATGTGAGTACACTTGCCAAACATGCACTTATAGAGGCCAGAGGTTGCCCTCAGGTATCTTCTCTTATCCTCTCCAACTTACTTTTTGAGAACCAGCCTCTCTCTGAACACAGAGCTCACTGGTTAGGCTGGCTGGCCCATGAGCTCCAAAGTCCCCCTATCCCCTCTGCTGAGCACTGGGATTACAGATGTGTGTCACTGTGCCTGGCTTTTATGTGGATGCTGAGGATCCCAATTCAGTCCTCATGTTTGCACAGCAAGCACTTTACCCACAGTTATCTCCTCAGCCCTCATTTAATGTTCTCACTAGTATAATATATATTGATTGCACAAGGTAATGGGCTTCATCACAACATTTGCATCTATGCATATAACACACTTCGCTCAATGCCTTGAATGAATAGTCTTCATCAACCTTTCTTTTCCCTGTCCCTTGCTTCCCTCTTCCACAACCCTAATAGACCCCCCCCACCCTTACTTCCATTTCCTTTCCCTCCTTTAGATTCCACATAGGAGAGAAAACGCAGTATTTGTGAGTCTGGCTTATTTCACTCAATGTGATGATCTCCAGTTCTATCCATTCTCCTATAGAGGACATCATTTCTTCTTTGCATCTGAATAAAACTCCACTGTGCCAATATGCCACGCTTTCTGTATCCAGTCCCCTGCTGATGAGCACCTAAGCCTCAAACACTATGCATCGCATAACTTGACGATTTTCACCAGTACTTCTTGACCCACACTTCATGCCTCTTCTCTCCAGCAGCTCTACCCTCACATGCTTATTTAGGGAATCCAGTAAAGTAGTTGTCAACCCTCAACATACCCTATGTCTCTAGTCTGAGTACCTTTGTTAATGAACAACATTTTTCGCCTGTCTTTAGATTCTTTCCAACTCAGGACAAATGTTTCTCTACCAGAGTCAATGGCCATTCCCTTATATTTGGAAATTGTCTTGTTGGTTTCGGGCACTGTTAAATCTTTTTAATTAAACATTCTATTTAATATTCATACACGGATATAATGTAATCAAATCCACCCTTCCTTCCGCTCCTTCAATTCCTCCCTACCTCCCCCCCGACTTTTTCCTCCCAACTTCATGTGCTTTCTCTTTTTAAAGAACTTAATATCCACTGAATCTATTTAGTGCTGCCTACATGTGCGTGGGTGTGGGACCATCTACTGGAGCATGGGTAGCCTCTCAGGGCCCACATCCCAGAAGGAAGGTGACTGTTCCTCACCTAGCAGCCATCACTTGTCAGATAGGGGTGAGACTTCATAAGCCTGTTCCCTGTCCATGCTGGGGGCTCTGGCTGGCTTGATCTTGTGCAAGGTTTGAACATGCAGACCCAGCCACTGTGAGTTCACGTGTGCCACTGTACCGTCATTTCAGCAAATATGAAATTTCAGGGAAATGGATACAGAAACTATCAATGTCTGTACCTGGTTCTTTCTCTTGTCTACTCTGAATAGTTATATTGACTTCCAGATTCTAGAAGGAGACCTTAAAATTCAAATTCACATCCATTGGCCACCTACAGTACTTAGGAAAGCACAATGACTTGGATAAAGAACATGACCAATCAATGTTTGTTGAACAAGAGAACAGTTCCACTTTGTGTGTGTGTGTGTGTGTGTGTGTGTGTGTGTGTGTGTTCAGGTGCATATGTGTGGTTGTGAATACATGTTTGTGTGTGAAGGCCAGAGGTCAGCCTTGAATGCCTTCCTCAGTCACTACCCACCTGTTTTTGAAACAGGGTCTCACTGCATCTGGAGCTTCCCCATTAGGTTAGGCTGGCTAGACAGCTAACTCCAGGAATCCTCATGTCTCTGCCTCCCCAGTGGTGGGCTTGTAAGCATGTGCTACCATACTCAGCATTTATTTGCAGATTCTGGAGATGAAACCCTAGTTCTCATTCTTGTGTGGTAAGCGCTCTACTGACTGAACCGTCTTCCCAGTTCAACAATTCCATTTTTGAAGCATTGTCCCAGATGTAAATGGAAGCGTTTTGACTAAGGAGTGATCAGAAAATGACATGAAACAGTTAGGATAGCCATTCAGAGAGATGATGGAGTGATGACCACAAAGAAGGTCCATCAAGAGCACTGCCATTTTCTCTAACTGGGCAGGAAGACAAACTTCTTTTTTATGTGCATGAGTGTTTTGCCTGCATATATGTAAGTGTGCCTGTGTCATGCAATGCCCACGGAGGCCAGCAGAGGGTGGTAGAACCCTTGGAACTAGAGTTAGAGACAACTGTTAGCCACCATGTGAGTGCTGGGAAATGAATCTGGGTCCTCTGCAAGAACAGCCAATGCTCTTAACCATTGAACCATCTCTCCAGCCCCAGGATGCACTTCTAAAGCTCTCTTTAGAACTCAACTGAACTTCTGAAGTTTCTGCCTAGTCAGTGCTCTGGCCCAACAGCACAAGCAGTGTTGAGGTCATTTTGCTGAGACTCAAACAAATTAATATATCAGGGCAGTGACTCACAGAGTGATATGTTAAAAAGAAAAATGTCTTCTAAGACATGCCAGTAAGAACCATTCCTTGGAACAATGTCATCAAATTTCTGACCTTCCTTAGATCCTGGGCATGGTAGGATATTACTGGCATTGGGTGGAGCTGTATGCACCCCAGTAACAAATACTAAGTTTGAAATGCTTTCTCTAGAATCAGTTCTCTGTTTTCCATGTTTGTGTGTTATTAATCATAGACATTAGCACAGGCCTAAAATCCCCAACACTACTCCATATCACACCCACGGAAATGATCACATATGATTCCGATTTGGTCTTTTATTGTAAGATTATTTCCATAGGATGTAATTTAGTAGCGATTTATGGCATCATGCCACATGCGCCACAGGGTAAACAAAGATAAAATAGCCCTTAAGCTATCCAGTTGGGTGGTGGTTATTTTCCTCCTGCATCTTAGATTTTCAAGAATGAAGAAAAACATCTAATTTGCACAAACAAATTATCTGAGCATCTAAAACATCACAGATGTGGCATCTCATGTGCTCTGTAAAGAAAGTGAATGATTTGATAGCAAATGCAGCAGATTAGATGGTTCTGGGCTGGGGCATGGCCTTGATTAGGTATACTTTGTTTACAGTCTTTGAAGAATTTTCAGAGAAAGAACATCTATTTTATAAAAAAAAATCATATAAACTGTATCTTCCTATATAATTATCATTATTTAAAACGGCCTTGTGACTATGTAAAGATCATTTTCACAGGGTTGGGGATGTAACTCAGTCAGTAGAGTGCTTGCTTATGGGGAAGGCCTGACTTTGAGTCCTAGCTCCATATAAACTGGGCATGGTGGCTCAAGTCTGTAATCCTAGCACTCAGGGTGAAGACAGTAGATCCAGAGTTTCAAGGTCACCCTTAGCACCGTAAAATCTGAGGCCAGCCTGAGCTAATACGAATCCCCATTTTACAACCCCTAGCTGATGACCCACTGGCAGTGACTGCTGCTGGGGGAGGGAGAGTCATTTTTCTTCAGTGGTGTGGCCATGAAACAAAGCACATCCTCCAGGAAAGCCCCTACCCATGTTCATGAGATCAACGGTAACCAAACTCAATGGGTCATTTAAAGAAAAAAAGATGTGAAAGAGGGGAACTTGTTAGGAAGGAGGAGTCCAGAGAGGAAGGGGGGTAGGAGAGGGTTATAGGAGCAAATGTGTTTAAAATATAGTGTGTGTGTGTGTTTATGAAAAGCTGTCAAAGAATTAGAAACAAACAAACAAACAAACAAAAAATGTAAAAGCAAAGGCCTACTGTGACAGTAAAGATGCCCCCAGAATTAAACCACAGCCTCAGCCTCATTTGGTGTCTTTTTTGATTTTAGGTGGGAACTGCAAGATACATGGCACCTGAAGTTCTAGAATCCAGGATGAATTTGGAGAACGTCGAGTCCTTTAAGCAGACAGATGTCTACTCCATGGCTCTAGTGCTCTGGGAAATGACATCTCGCTGCAATGCGGTGGGAGGTAAGTGTGTGGTCACAGCGCTGTGCTATGGTGGGTCCCCCTTCAAAATGATCTATTGCTGTCTGCTTTAAGCATGGTTCTGGGGGGAGGGTGCTGTCACCACAAAGGTGGCACACATCTTTAATCTCAGCAGAGAAAAGTAGATCTCTTGTGAGTTTGAGGCCAGCCTGGTCTACATAGTGGGTTCTTGGTCAGCCAGGGTTATGTAGTAAGATCCTGTCTCAAACAAATAAAAAGCAGTTAACTCCATTTTGACATCCTGAGAGCTAGCTGAGATCTTATAGTACCCACCAATTCCAGAATGATTTGGAATTATTCTTACAGCAAAGGTTTGTAAGTGAAAAGCCAAGTTTGGAACATAAAGCTTTATATCTCCTTTCATACCACTTTCTATAATTACTTTTCTCTTGGTACATCTGTCCCCAGATATTTCACTATCTAGCAAGAGATGGACACTAGTAGTATGTCTAAGAATTATTTCTATTTATCAAAAGCTTAATATTCAGATTAGTATCTGCTTTTGTTTCTCTTTGTATTATAAAGTTTTCAGAATTACAAGATCTGGAAAAAAGATTTGACTAAATATTTACTCTAACAGACATGACTCCTTTGTTGCAAAAAAAAAACCAAGCAGAATCATTTGATATATCTATCTAGGTTTTGAAGACTCTAGGGAAGACAGCTTATTGAAGAAGATGGCTAGCTTCCAAGACTTCCCTGCCCTTCCTTCGTAAACCCCAGGGGTCTGGCTTTGCTTGTTCTTATTATCTCAAGTTCAACCTCCGCTTTTCTTTTTCTTTCTTTGAACATTCTCCTTAAACAAAGTGCCACAACCTCCCCTGTTCCCTTGCTGTCTCTTCTCTGCAGGTTGTATAGAGTCCTTTCCATTGTCAGAGGCTGTGGTTGCCTTGACCTTGAGATTGTAAAAAAGGATGAGCAAGGTACAGGGCAAAGTCATTGCCTTGGGAGCACTGTCCCCAGATAGCCAGTGAGAATGGCAGATGTCAGCATTGCTCTCTCCTTTTCCAACTCCCGGCTCAGCCGTTTTCTTCAGGTCTCACCTAGAAGACGAAAACATTCCCACCTGCTCCTTCCTGTCTGCCAAATGACATGAAGCTGAGCTTTGTGCTTTTTAACAAGTTGTTTTTTAAATAACTTTGGACTTACAAAATAACAGTAGGAATAACACAGAGCAAGGAGATAGCTCAGTCAGTAAGGTAGTTATAACACAAGCATAAGGACATGAGTACTGATCCCTAGCACCCACCAAAAGTAGGACATGGTGGTTTGGACCTGTAATCCCAGTCCTGGCGAGGCAGAGACAGGAGGGTTTCTGGTGCTCGCTGGCCAGCCAGTCTACCCAAATCAGTGAGCTCTATGTTTAATGAGAGACCTTGTTTCAAAAACTGAAGTGGAGAGCAGTAGAGGAAGACACACACGTATGTGTACCATCTCACACACATGCACACACACACATACACACACAAGACAAAAATAAAGATTAACACAGAGGATGTTGGATTAACACCCAGGATGTTGAGGTAGGATGAAGAATTGAAACAAGTTCTATGTTAGCCTAGTCCACATAGTAAGTTCCATGCAGCCTGGGCTACAGAGCAAGAGCTTGCCTTAAATAAACCAACTAATAACAATAACAAAGGAAAGCAAAGCATCACCAGCCTCCATCTAGCTAACTTAATCCAATTTAAAATTTAACCTAATTATATCAACTATCAAACTGCATCAATACCAGGAAAGTATCATCGGTTCAGTGCTCTGCACTCATTTATAGACTTCTCTTGAGTTTCCATATCTCCAGTAATGTGCTTTTCTGGAAGAGGATTTGGGTCAGAACACCTAAGTGATCTAATCCGAGTGCCACCATAGTCTCCCTCACATTAACCCATGATGCTCTTTTATGACCTTGATACTTGTGAAGTTTCAAACAGGGCCTTCAGGGCCTGGCTCTGACTTTGGATTTCACTGGTGTTTTCTGACCATTAGATTGAGATGACATGTCTAGGATAGGGTACAGCATGGCACCTTTTTAGCACATGGTACTAAGGACAGGATTGCTGGTATTAGCTGGGAAGTCTGACTACTAGATGAAATGGGACCTTCCAGGTTTCTTCCCTGAGAGGTGCCATTTTTCAATATGTAATGAACTCATACTGGGAAGATATTCTGACTTGTTCATATTTTTTCCTGGAAATTTGAGGATTTATTAAGAATCCGTGCTTGGAACACTTATTACTATGATGTTTGCCTCACGGAGATTTTCTATTTTCCTTGCTTCTTCATTTATTAGTAGGTATTCTGCTGTGAGGGGATCACTGTCTTTTTCTCACTATTCCTTGCTATTGATTTGTTATTATGCACTCATATATTAATTTCGTTCTTTGATTATCCAGTTACTGTCATCTATTTTGTTCAATTAGTCATTATTTTGGTTACTGACACAAAATTCCTAAAATATTGTCCAAGGCAGGTCCAGTTGGCCCCATTGCTAGTTCTGAGCCTTCATTCCCTTTAGAATATGTTTGGCTACCTACCACCAGAGAAGGATCTAGATCACCTCTGCCGGCTCCACCCCTTGCTGAACCACCATCACCAAATTCTTTGGCCCCAGTGTAGAGTCGGTGATTCCTGTCTAATGACTCTCTTATTTCCTGGTTTCTTATCTGATATTTCTTCCCCCACATTTCTTAAAGTAACTTTGCATTTGGTGTCTGTGTGTGTGTGTGTGTGTGTGCGCGCGCGCATGCGCGCGCGCGCTTTTCTTTCTTGCACAGTGAAATTTGTTTAACCAAGTATCAACCACTATACATGATTTTCTGCTTGAAAGCTTTGACAGTTCCAAAATGAATCTGTGGACCGATAAGAGTCCTGTCAGAGATGCTGCTGCTGTCCCCGACAGAATACATTTACCTGGACAGCAGTATCTTCCCCCATGCTTCAGAGCCCTGCTGTGTAAACAGCCTCTGAGATTGTGTCTCTGTCTCCAGCTCCGTCAGGATAGCCAGCCTATTAAGTTCCTTTAAGCTCCTTTGTTATCACTGACCAGAGCCCCTTCCTGTTGATATTTGCTGACTATGGAAGAACTGAGGAAAATGAGGAAGGACTGAGTTCACCAACTTTCACAGCTTTCTAAAAAGAGCTGTGGGATAAACAAGTGTCCCTGAGGATGGAGGAGGGATCTGATATGTTCAGCTAGTCCCAGAAAACCTTTTACAACCTTTGGGGTAAAAACAGACAGATGATTTTTGTTGGGATAAAAACAGACAGGGGGGACAGGAAGGAGCCCGTCCTGGTTCTCATATTGTTTGATCACAACCTCAAAGGCTTCTCCTGCCTCCCCTCTGACTGCATAAGCTGAGGCTATACATCCACACACACCCCCCCCCCGTGTTCATCGTGGTACAGAGCCCTCACTGGATTAAGTGTATGACCTCAGATAGCAAGTTCCCGCTGGTAAATTGGCCTCTTCTAAAAGTATCATAATTATGTCTGTGTGTGTGGTGTGTGTGAGTGTATGAGTGTATGTGCATCTGAGAGTGCACATGCATGTGTATCTGCACAGATGTAGAAGCCAGAGGTCATGTGGTTTTCTCAGTTATTCTCCACCTTTGTTTCTGAGACAGAGTCTGAACTTGGAGCTCACTGATTGGGCTAAGTTGGCTGCCCAGTGAGCCCCAGGGCTCCGCCTGTCCCTGCTTGCCCAGTTACTGGGATGACAATTACATGCCACCAGGCCCAGATGTTTTAAAAGATATTTCATTTATTATTTTTATTCTATATGTATGGATGTTTTGCATGCATGTATGTAAGTGCACCACAGTGCCCACAAAGGCCAGAAGAGGGTGTTGGATCCCATGGAACTGGATTTACAAATGATTGTTAGCCACCATGTGGGTGCTGGGAATCAAACCCGGGTCCTCTGGAAGAAGAGCAAGTGTTCTTAACCACTGAGCCATCTCTCCAACCCCAATGCCCAAATTTTTCAAGTGAGTGCTGGACATCCAAGCACTTTACCACCTGAGACATCTCCCCAGCCTCTTAGGTTTTTATTAAAATGTGTTTTAGACCTTAAGGTGATTGGTTAGCCTAGTCTTGATTTCAAAGACATTGCTTTTTACACTGTTTACATACGGAATGCATAGAAGCTCAAATATAACTGCGTTCTCCCCAAGCATAGGTTTCTGTGTGGTCCTCTTTCCAACTGCTGGAGAGTCACACATGGAAAGACAGCTCTGACTGGCATTCCAGAAGTTTGGAGTCTGCTAGAGAAATTCGGAACCTTAAAAAATGTTTACACATGCATATTGTTCCTTCACTTTCTAACACAGTAGAAAATAAATTCCCATAATTGACAGGGGACTTTGATTTCTAAATATAAGAGGAAAGCAGACAGCCCTTCTTAAGCTTGAACTTTACGCCTGTGATGATATATAATTATCTCTTTCCAACAGCTGTCTAGGAAAGGACAAAATAATAATAGCAATAGTAATAATAACGATGATGATGAAATGTAGGGTCATCAAGATGAGCCAGCAGGTAAAGGTACCTGCTGCAAAAAGAAGCTTGATGACCCAAGTTCAATCCATAGAATCCTAGTAAAAGTGGAAGGAGAGAACTGACTACTGTACAGACTTGTCCTCTGACCTCCACATGCATACCCCCCGTGCACCCACCTTTCTCTCTGTAACATACACACACAATGACAATAAATAAAAATAATTAAAGGATAGTACAGAATGTGTTTCCTTAGTACAAGTAACCACAGATTAATAGTTTACCCCACAATTTGGGTCAGCTAATTTTTCATCCCACTTACTCTAAGTAGAACAGCTAACTGAATAAAGTAGGATATTAGCATTGGGTGACAGATGTCACTGGACAATTAAGTAAGTCCTGCCTCCCCTGCTTTAGGTGACTCTGTAATGTTGAGTGTGACTTCTTTGAGGATGTGGGGGTCTGGCCCATGCTCCCCTCTCCAGACC